ACAAGCAGGGGGAGTGGGAGAGGGAGAAGCAGGCTTTCCGCTGAGCAGGGAGCCCGATGCGGGGCTCGATCCCAGGACCCTGGGATCATGACCTAAGCCAAAGGCAGACACTCAATGACTGAGCTACCCAGGCACCCCAAAGCCCTTCCCATTTCTTAAGGCTACCTGTCTTCTGTGCAGCACGTCTTGTCTTGCTTTTCCACTTGACTTCCTACTGCCTCTGGATACAAAGAAGTCAGAGATGATCTCCCACTATTTGGACGAGCTAGGTGCTGTGTTTACAGTCTCTTGCACTGAGCACTAACACCCTATGCCTGAGATTTTCCTAGTCTCTCCTATATCTCTGCGTGAGCTTGGGCTATCGCAGTCGGATCTTTGGCTCAGCAATTAGGGCAACCGATATGCTGGGTTGGGTAAAACATGGCCAGGGCTGCTCCATGCGAACCAAAGGAGGTAGCCACAAATAACCATCCCAAAATGTAGGTAGTGTGTTAGGAAATTTTGATGGCAAGAAGCAGTTTTTCTTAGATCATCTCAAGTAAGTCATCCTTACAGCAATGTTTTCTTCATCTGCTATGTACAAGGCACTGAGCTGGGGAAAGGTGTTTGGAAAGGGACACAAGGCAGTAAAGGGACAGGAATCACACAGAAGCTCCTGATCACCAGGTAAGGCCCCGTGGAAAGTGGCAGATAGTCAGGATTCATGAGTGCTCCTGAGACTGGGGTATCTGGTCACCCCCAAGGCTATAGACATAAGTTAAGCCTCTACTATGATGGTGATTCATTTGTTCCCTTTTTCTGCTCTTGCTGCTGTCATATCTGTGTCCATCCTCACAGCTTCTGACTACCTATAACTGTTTTCTCATGTCTCCTGCTAACTCTGGGGTCTCAGTGGCTCCCGCTACTTACTGGCCTCCACCTGCCTGCCACATTTGGGTGTCTTCTCAGTTTCTTCACGTGCTGCCACGTAACTTATCTTTCCCTGTCTCTCCAGTTTGGATCCCGGAGCCTCAGAACTGATTGTCTCATTTAAGCTGTGTGTTCCCGCTGAGGCGGAGCTTTCAGTCCAAGCCATGACACAGGCTGCTGGTCAACCTTTGGGGCAGGAAAGTCTCATACAACCGGGGTATGTATGAGAAAGCCAAACGCAGGAATTAGCACGGAGACTCACTTGGAGCAGGGGCTGTCCATTCTCCAGATGAAAAGGCAGGGGAAGACTTCTCAGGGAAGAGAGCTGGCATGTGTTTAAGCCCAAGTGAGACAGAGTTTGGAAGAGCCAAAAACTTTAAGCTGACCAGTGTGGTAGGAGTGTGATGAGCAAGCAAAAGATGAGGCTGGAGAGGCAGGTGGGGGCTGGCATCCCTGGCAGCAGGATGGAGGAGGGACCTATGAGGAGGGCAGGCATGATGGCCATCATTATTTTATCATCATGAGTTTTGCTGGTGGGTCATCAAGACCAGGGGTTGACAACCTATAGCCTGTGGGCCAAATTCAGACGACTAGCCTGCCTTTTTTTTTTTTTTTTAAGATTTTATTTATTTCAGAGAGTTTTTAAGATTTTATTTATTTCAGAGGGAGAGAGCACGAGCAGGGAGGAGGGGCAGAAGGAGAGGGAGAGGGAGAAGCAGACTCCCCGCTGAGCAAGGAGCCCGATGCAGGGCTCCATCCCAGGACCCTGAGATCATGACCTGAGCCGAAGGCAGACGCTTAACCGGCTGAGCCACCCAGGTGCCCCTGACTGCCTGTTTTTATATGAACTAAGCATGGTTTTTATATTTTTAAATTATTGGGAAAAAAAAGTCAAAAGAAAAATATTATTTCATGATATGTGCCATTTATATGCAATTCAAATTTCAGTACATAAATAAAGTTTTATTGGAACCTACAACCATTCCCATTTGCCCAAACTATCCCAGTTTGGCACTGAATGTCTTAGATCCCTGAAAACCCCTCAGTTCCAGGCAAATTGGGATGGTTTGTCAGCTGGAACGTAGCCAGGCTCACTCATTTTCATATTGTCTATGGTTGCTTTCATGCTCCAGCGACAAAGTTGAGTAGTTATGATAGAGGCCATATGGCTCCAAAAGCCTAGAATATTTACTATCTGGCCATTTATAGAAAAAGTTTGCTGACCTTTGATCAAGACCAATGAAAAGTAGATAACTTACCTGATAAGACAAGGGAATAAAACTGATTGTTACTTTAATGAGAGTGTTAACTATGCCTATTTATTTTCTCCATCAGAAGCTGATTCCTTTCTAAAACCTAAATTAGATTATGTCACTCTCCTGCTCAAGGTCCTTCAGTGGCTTCCCATCCCACTGGGAATTAAATCCAAGGATCCCATACATCCCTCTCAGACAGACCTCATCTCTTTCCTTCTCTTCGTCTTGCTTGCTCCACACCATTCCCGCCCCCTTGCTGTTCCTCAAACGTGCCCAGTATAATCCTGCCTCAGGACCTTTGTACTTACTGCTGCCTCTCTCCAGACCCTGTCTCCCAGATCTATGCACACCTCGCTCCTTCGCCTCATTCTTGTTTCAGTTCAAAGTTGCCTTTTCAGTGAAGCCTTTTCCCCCAGCATAGCACTCTTCACCTCCTGACATTACTTATTTATGTTCTGTGTCTATATACTAGAAGGTCAGGCACATGGGGACAGGGACCTTGTGGCACCCTTGCTCACAGAACAGTGATGGTGGGTTTGTGATGAATATTTGTTGGATAAATAAGTGGTTGGTGGAGTTAAGAATCTTATGCATGTCTCCAGGGCCATGTCCCCACTCATTGGGCCATATTACTACTAATCAGTATTTTATTTTAGCCAATATTGGTCCTGTTACAATTATGTAGCTGCCTGTCTCTGGCATCCAGTGGCCTCTTTTCCTGCCCAACACCTTGTATTTAATCATCTGAACATCTGCTCTGTGGCTATCTCGTGCCAGATTCAAACCTGAGATGCTTCCATTTCTCTTGTCCTGAGGATGGATGCGATAATCCTGGGCCCAGGGGTGGAATCAGGGTGATTCTTCAACCCCTGAAGCCGACAATGACATTTTATGCATAGATGCACTTTTCTAGGATGAGGGTCCAGAGCTGTTATCCAATCGTCAAGAGGGTCCTCAACCCTCAGAAAGCTGAAGAGCTGTGATTTTAAGCGACAGTAGTCCATTTGCTTAAATGTGTGCCAAGCTCTCTAGTCTGTTACCGGCCCTCCTGGGGGGTGCCCTCCACTCTCCAGTGTCCTGTGTTCTTGGCGCTCAAGCTGGTTTCGCTGGGATGCTGTCTGCCTCTGGAAGGTTCCTCCCTTCTGCCACCTTCTGAAACATGGTGAACCCCTCACCAGGCTCCTGTGCAGCTCGCAGGCCCCCCAGTGGCTGCTCGGCAGCAGCTGTTTGCGTTAGGGGCCACAGAAAGTGCTGGACCGAGCCTCCCGCATGGCCTCAAACAGCAAAACTCTCCGGGAAGGGCCCCTGACAGGTCCTGGCAGAATGACTTTAGATGCACTTCTCGGAGCATGAGGCCTCATTTACATCTTCTGTCAAGTATCTGTGCCGTGGGATCAGTTTCCTGCCAAGGCTCCCTGCTCCTTTCCCAGAGGAATCAGGAGCCCAGCCGCAGGGCTCCTGACGGGGAGGCACGACGAGAGAGCAAAGCAAACCAGAGAGCCCTTGGGGCCTGGTGGGGTGGCAGAACCAGAAAAGGTCACAAAAGGAAGAAGCTTAGGGACAAAAGAAACCACACCTCAGCTGTGAACCCTGACCTGTGGCATCAGCATCACCTGGGAACTTGCTAGAAATGCAAATTCGCTGGCCCACTCCAGACCCCTTAAAGCAGAATTTCTGGGGGCAGGACCAGCAGCCTGTGTTTTAACAAATCCTCCAGGTGATTGGGATGAATCCCTGAGCTCGGGCCGGGCCGCTGTGGGGCTTATTAGTGTTTAATGAGAGAGCAATGGAGGAAATCAATCAACCAATTATTCTTGCCTTGAGAAAGAGAACAGCACAATGTTCTCAGCCTGAGCTGCACATCAGAACCACCCTGACGGTTTTAAAAACCCCATTGCTCATGCCATGCCAGAACAATTACTCAGGAGTCTCTGAGGGGGACCCAGCCACAGACGTTTTTAAATCATACTAAGTGACTCGAATACGCTGCCAAAAGTGAGCGTTGTTATTGTAAGAGAAGGTATCAACAAGATCCTCTACTTTGAATGACTTTGAGAATTTATTTTTAAA